GAAAACAAGATTTCCCTTTTAATTTTTAAAATCTCGTAATTTAGTTGATTTTTAAATTTAAAAATTTAAGATTGCCTGCATTTACAGGCCAAACAAAGGCGAAAATCCTAACTTATGTGTGTGGCATAAAAACTAGCTTGGCTTGTATTTGTTATCTTTTAGCTTCATTATTATCATGTCACATTGTAACCTTGAAGTAAAAAAGAAAATTTATTCTATCCTGTTCAAATCTCGAATTCATATCACGATTCGTTTCTAAATCTGCGCTTACATTTTTATTTTCAACAGAAATTAATTGTCATATTTTTATGGGTTCCCCCACATTCTGCCGGATTCTTCTTAATCTTTTAATTGCTTGTATTAGGACTTTCAGGTTAGGCAGTATATCGAGAACTGTGTTAGCTTAAATTTCTCACTACTGACTAAAACGACCTAAAAATAATTTCGTCACGTATTTTCATGAAATTTAAGTCAGCTAAATAATGGCTTTGCACTAGTAGGATCTAAAATCAGCTAAGTTAATCTTATCTAAAAAAGGGCTTTAAAATTAATATATCCTCGCTTAAGAAGAGGGAATATTGGCCACATGTTTATAAAAGCTGACCACGGTCAGAATCATTCATTATGCTTTATTCTCTTGTTTCTATGCAGACTCTCGCGTTTTGCTTGCTATCGGGCATGGTGATGCGTCTGAAGCTTTTTTCTACTCCACAGTTATGCCTCTCTTACGCCCTCCTCGTAAGACGCGTCGATCTTCTGTTTCTCAAATATTCATATTGTGAGGAGTTGAAGAAAACCAGTATTTACTCTTCTCCCAAGTCAACGGATTATAAAAAAGACGTGAAGAGATCAAAATCTGGTGCCTGCTTCAAAGGCCGCTCTTGTTATCCAGGCTCTTTGTCCAATAAGCTTGGATGGACGGCTAATTTGTGCAGCTGGAGCAAACAGATTTTGACTATAAGACGATTTGCTATTTGCCTCGGAGTGGCACTGCTAATTCTGATGTTTACGCACGGATATGCTAACATCCAGGTCCGTTAACTTCTTTTTAGTTTGTGGTGCTGGTCTGTAGTGAACGATAGTTTTTGCTTTTTTGACATTTTTTCAGTGCGTACTCCATCCAATCATTTGAGTATGTTGTAGTTTTGCTTATTTTACTGAGTGTCTCTGACTGATCTAGTTGAGTCATGCCTTGATTTATTTTGCTTAAATTATGATAGAAAAAGACTTTTTTTTCTTGAATTGGCTCCACTTGAGAAGGAGAAGTTGCATGATATAAACTTAAATAATATTAAAATATACGAAGATTAACTGGCGAAAGCTGGGCCCTAGAGAGGATGTCTTATGGACTCTTTCGACTTGAACATATTTGTAAGGCCGGACACTTGAAGAAAAATGGGAATCGGGCGTTATCTTCTTGTGAGATCTACGCATGAATCCATTTACCAGACACGTCCATATTAAATAATAGTCTGTCTCGCAGTGTACATTTCACATTGTCGCTATATTCGTTTTTGTCCATAATCATACACATGAACAGATTTATTAGGATACGCAAGACCCTAACCGATTAGATAGAATGTATATTGCGAGATATGATTACGTGTCGTGTACAAAAACAGGACCCAGCTATAAAGATCAGTGGAAACTTACTTGACATGCTGGAAGCTATGCATAGGAACGGGGAGATTAATGGATGAACAATAAATTCATTAATAAAAAAGAATTAATAGCCACTAACAGCCTACTGATTAGTAAAAATACACAAAGAAGACGAATCACTAAGGCTGATAGTAGAGAAAAAATATGGAGCAACACACAAATTGGATACCGAAAATTCAGAAATAGCGGAACCCATCGCACAAATGGGCACGGGATCGTTGGGAAGAGAAGGGCCATATACGGCGACAATACAATGGAACGGAAGATTATATAAGCTATTGACAACCTTCCGGAAAGAAATGTAATCAACAAGAGGTTGGAAGAATGCAGATCTATTGATACCTTTGCCTATTGCTCAAGCAAATTCGGAAAAAAACAAAGATATGGCGAGGCCAGCAAAAATGAGACTTATGGATCAAGGTCCTATCGTTAACCAAAGGAAAGTGGAAGCGAGTCTCGGAAATCAAGTGAGGACGTTCTCAGGGTGTGTGGTCGGCTAGAGGACACAACCACATCATGGGG